CTATCTATCTATCTATCTATCTATCTATCTATCTATCTATCTATCTATCTATCTATCTATCTATCTATCTATAACACATTAAGTAAACTGCGTAACATAAATTCAGCAGAACTACTCAGTTTTTAACAAAACGTCATAATAATTCTACATGAGCCATCTCTGGAGTCATTTAACATTCTTCAACGGCATATTCACTGTGGCATGATCACTAAACTGTAATCATACTGCTAATCCTCATCTGTCTTCAAAATCATGACACATTTAGTATGTTCAACTGAAATTCATGAGCAAATTTTAGTTTATCTGTTGCAAAATAGTGACGGTGGGTCGTTCCAACATTGTGCTCAAGACATTCTCATAAACACAAGATCTCTTCTCTTCCACAAGATGGCCTGTCTGTGGAGACTGAGTTCTTGCTTCTTAATAGAGACACACAGATGGAGAATTTGATTGTGAGATTAAAGCTGTTTTTCTTTTTCAGAAATAATGATCCCAGAGGGTTTATGTAAGGAAACCTCAGATGTATGATCTGAGCTGACATGTAGCTTATCTGTTCATGCACCAAGTTTGACCGATAGCCAGTCTATTAAACTTAAGTGCCTGTGAACTAAACGGATTATATAAATATGAAACAGTGCATCTATTCAATGTACACAACAATGTAACACAAAACTAACATCTTGAAACTTTTCACAGCTTGAACTGAGAACAATTGGTAACACTTTATTTGAAGGGGGTGAATAAGACTGACATGACACTTTCATAAACATGACATAACACATGTCATGAACATCAATAAGCCGTCATGAATATTTATGACTGTTGTCATAAAGCGTCATTCGGTAAATTATGACACTTTTAATACAAAGTTGACATTATTCAAAATGTCTTTGTTATGACAACTTGACATTAACCAATAAATCATTACTGTTTAAACTTTACCTTTAATAACATAAAGTTACCTATTTTTTAAAGTGCAATCAGTAATACTTTTATAACAAATTTATATCAGTAATGATTTCTTGGTTAATGTCAAGTTGTCATAACAAAGACATTTTGAATAATGTCAACTTTGTATTAAAAGTGTCATAATTTACCGAATGACGCTTTATGACAACAGTCATAACTATTCATGAAGGCTAATTCATGTTCATGACAGGTGTTATGTCATGTTTATGAAAGTGTCATGACAGTCTTATTCACCTCCCTTCAAATAAAGTGTTACCAAACAATTTAATGTCTTAACATTTTTCTTGGTTGCTAAAATATGACATTTTCCAGTTTTTCTGACCCACTTCTGTGTGGTAACAGTTCAGCAATCGTTGAATCCACTGACGATCTGTCTTGGACTCTCTCTGCGGATTTGAGATCAAATAATGTGTTATTAGCATGTGAGTACTCAGATGTATACTTATAGACAGAAAAATCAAAACTTGCCTTTTTTCACAATGTGATAAATACACCAAAATGAAGAGACCAACAGCCAGACTGAATAAATCCAAAACGATGAAAAAATTTTTTGAGTCTTATTAGACGTTGCTGCGGAAGAGAAAATATGCACATGAGAATAAATTTATTTTCATCCAAGGTACAGCATCTCTCACAGGTATCAATTCTTCTTGTATTTTATTTACTTTCAAGGCCTTGTCTAACTACTAAGCACATCTTTCAAAGCAAGAACAAGACTTTGAAATTAATGTACTGCTTTAGAACTCAAACGATGACAGAAAACAGGATATACCTAAACATTTACCTTAGATTACCAATGGGGGCCATTTTAGGAGGATGAATTTTTTATGCACTGAAATGTTTGATTGTAATGTGGCAAAATGTTCAAGGGGTATGAGTACTTTACAAGGCACTGCACTTTTAATTGTCTGAGCTGCAGATTTGCATAATTGACCTCCAACATCAATACTTTATTATTTCCCTTAAAATTCCTCCCACCTGTTTTAGCGTTGAACATTATAGGATTATCTTGAAGAATCCATTTCCTGCTGGTCCCATGGTCAAGATGAATAACAACAGCAGAAATGTATATGAAGTACTCTGTGGCTGCACTTAAGTTGGAGATGCTGATGCTCATAAGGGAGGAGCCATTGGTGTAGTAGTAGAACAGCGTCTCACAAATGAAGCTGCATATTGTCACATTGTAATAGTGAGAAGTCGTCTGCATCAGTGCAGAGATGTTCCAGCTTAGATTCATGTGATCGATGTTCACAAAGTCCACAGACACTGACTGAGGGGAAACGGGCCCTGGAAGATTTAGATCAAGAATTCACTTCAATGGGAAGTGAAATCNATGTTTCAGCAGGCCACTTTTGCCATTCTGCAAAAATTTGTCAAAATTACGCCACAGTGAGGTAAAATACTCCGTGTTTTACCTCGCACATAAAAAAAAATAATCACATCAAAAGTCACAAACTCTGTGTTTAGTAATTTCTTTGATGACCAAATATATTAGTGTGTGTTAGAAAATGTGTCAATGACAGGTATTTACTTAAAATACTTTGTAGAGCGTTACTTTCTAAAGTTTGATCCATTCCCTTGTATTAGCTTACTGGCACACAGGCCACATTCAGTATGGTGGACGCTGTGACGTATCACAGCATCGGGTCGACCCGCTCCATGAGGCATCTACGTGTTCATGTCTGGGTAAAATACTGAGTCCCTGTTACTTGTTGACAGTTTCTGCTGTCAAGGGTGACATAGCCAGTTATCGGGTTTAGGGGTAAATTCCTACATGGGGCAAAGATGGTTTGCTGTATCACCTGAAACATCTAAGTGTAACAAAGATAAAATTTCAGACACTGTAGAGATGCTATTGTGATAAATGCACAAGAAAGACTACGAGGCTCTGTCATCACTTTTATTCTTTGTTCTTTGTTAGTAAGCAGTTCCAGAAAGCAAATCATAAACCTTATTTTAGATTTCCCTTTCCTATGAAATAGAGGCATCTAAGACATATCTATCCATAATTAAACCAAGATCTGTTCTGAATATGAGTAATTATAGTACTTCATTCTTACAAGTGCAAGAATATTAAAAACGTTGTTTGATTCATTGGCATAGACAATATTTATAGTTTAGGTCTTGTACAAATCTTAAGCTGCAAAATTAAAAAACAGAAGAACCTAACCAAATGCAAAATATTTAATTTAAAATAGCTGCAGAGAAAACATGCTGACATGTTGCAACATCCTTTGTGTGAAACGAATATCTTAGCTAATGGCAAACAATATTTCATTTAAAATAGCTGCAGAGAAAACATGCTGACATGTTGCAACATCCGTTGTGTGAAACAAATATCTTAGCTAATGGCAAACAATCAGAAAAACATCTCACTATCATTTAAAATAGAGACATTATTTTCCTGCCAATAATTTTTTTTTTGGTTTAGCCTGAAGCCAAAACCATGACCCCACTACATCTCAAACATTAGGTTATATTCATATCTATCTATCTATCTATCTATCTATCTATCTATAACACATTAAGTAAACTGCGTAACATAAATTCAGCAGAACTACTCAGTTTTTAACAAAATGTCATAATTCTACATGAGCCATCTCTGGAGTCATTTAACATTCTTCAACGGCATATTCACTGTGGCATGATCACTAAACTGTAATCATACTGCTAATCCTCATCTGTCTTCAAAATCATGACACATTTAGTATGTTCAACTGAAATTCATGAGCAAATTTTAGTTTATCTGTTGCAAAATAGTGACGGTGGGTCGTTCCAACATTGTGCTCAAGATATTCTCATAAACACAAGATCTCTTCTCTTCCACAAGATGGCCTGTCTGTGGAGACTGAGTTCTTGCTTCTTAATAGAGACACACAGATGGAGAATTTGATTGTGAGATTAAAGCTGTTTTTCTTTTTCAGAAATAATGATCCCAGAGGGTTTATGTAAGGAAACCTCAGATGTATGATCTGAGCTGACATGTAGCTTATCTGTTCATGCACCAAGTTTGACCGATAGCCAGTCTATTAAACTTAAGTGCCTGTGAACTAAACGGATTATATAAATATGAAACAGTGCATCTATTCAATGTACACAACAATGTAACACAAAACTAACATCTTGAAACTTTTCACAGCTTGAACTGAGAACAATTGGTAACACTTTATTTGAAGGGGGTGAATAAGACTGACATGACACTTTCATAAACATGACATAACACCTGTCAATAACATGAATAAGCCTTCATGAATATTTATGACTGTTGTCATAAAAGCGTCATTCGGTAAATTTTGACACTTTTAATACAAAGTTGACATTATTCAAAATGTCTTTGTTATGACAACTTGACATTAACCAATAAATCATTACTGTTTAAACTTTACCTTTAATAACATAAAGTTACCTATTTTTTAAAGTGCAATCAGTAATACTTTTATAACAAATTTATATCAGTAATGATTTCTTGGTTAATGTCAAGTTGTCATAACAAAGACATTTTGAATAATGTCAACTTTGTATTAAAAGTCATAATTTACCGAATGACGCTTTATGACAACAGTCATAAATATTCATGAAGGCTTATTCATGTGCATGACATGTTATGTCATGTTTATGAAAGTGTCATGACAGTCTTATTCACCTCCCTTCAAATAAAGTGTTACCAAACAATTTAATGTCTTAACATTTTTCTTGGTTGCTAAAATATGACATTTTCCAGTTTTTCTGACCCACTTCTGTGTGGTAACAGTTCAGCAATCGTTGAATCCACTGACGATCTGTCTTGGACTCTCTCTGCGGATTTGAGATCAAATAATGTGTTATTAGCATGTGAGTACTCAGATGTATATTTATAGACAGAAAAATCAAAACTTGCCTTTTTTCACAATGTGATAAATACACCAAAATGAAGAGACCAACAGCCAGACTGAATAAATCCAAAACGATGAAATTTTTTTTTGAGTCTTATTAGACGTTGCTGCGGAAGAGAAAATATGCACATGAGAATAAATTTATTTTCATCCAAGGTACAGCATCTCTCACAGGTATCAATTCTTCTTGTATTTTATTTACTTTCAAGGCCTTGTCTAACTACTAAGCACATCTTTCAAAGCAAGAACAAGACTTTGAAATTAATGTATTGCTTTAGAACTCAAACGATGACAGAAAACAGGATATACCTAAACATTTACCTTAGATTACCAATGGGGGCCATTTTAGGAGGATGAATTTTTTATGCACTGAAATGTTTGATTGTAATGTGGCAAAATGTTCAAGGGGTATGATTACTTTACAAGGCACTGCACTTTTAATTGTCTGAGCTGCAGATTTGCATAATTGACCTCCAACATCAATACTTTATTATTTCCCTTAAAATTCCTCCCACCTGTTTTAGCGTTGAACATTATAGGATTATCTTGAAGAATCCATTTCCTGCTGGTCCCATGGTCAAGATGAATAACAGCAGAAATGTATATGAAGTACTCTGTGGCTGCACTTAAGTTGGAGATGCTGATGCTCATAAGGGAGGAGCCATTGGTGTAGTAGTAGAACAGCGTCTCACAAATGAAGCTGCATATTGTCACATTGTAATAGTGAGAAGTCGTCTGCATCAGTGCAGAGATGTTCCAGCTTAGATTCATGTGATCGATGTTCACAAAGTCCACAGACACTGACTGAGGGGAAACGGGCCCTGGAAGATTTAGATTAAGATTTAATTAATGGTAAATTAGTTAAATTAATTATGAGAAAAATATTTAATATATGTATATAAATATTAGGTAACACTTTATTTGAAGGGGTGACTGACACTAGACTGTCATAAACATGGCATAACACCTGTCATGAACATGAATGACTCTGCATAAATGATTACGACTGTTGGCCTGAAGTGTCACTTTGTACATAATGACACTTTTTATGTAAAGTTTCATTAAAACCTTAATTAAAAGTCAATTAAAAGTGTCAACTTTACATGAAATGTGTCATTATTTAAAGAATGACACTTCATGACAACAGTCTTGAACATTTTTGAAGACTCCTTCATGGTCATTGTAGGGATTTGGTTTTTCTGTGTTTTTATTTACACACACTGTTGAGTCCCTTGTTGTCCTGTCTACCCCTCGATTGAGTACACCTGTTCCTGGTTTCCCCTGATTGTCTCCCTTTGTATTTAGACCCACCTGTGTTCCTTTGTCTTCGTCTTGTCATCTTGTCTGCCGTCTATTCTGTCGTCGTCGTTCCCATTTGTGAGTACTGTTTACCATTGCTACCAGATTCTGAGCTCCTTGCCTGTCCTCTCCTGTGCTGCCTGGATTTTTGTACTCTTCATCATTAAATCATCATTCCATTCTACATAATTGTGTCTACTGCATCTACCTCGCCACTTAACTAATACCGTTTCATTACAGTCATGACAGGTGATAGGTCATGTTTATGACTCATGTCTCATGTCAGTCTAATGCACAGCCCTTCAAATAAAGTTACAACAAAGGATGCAACACATTAACTGGATAAAATGCATCTGTGTGATATTATTTTTTAGGCAAAAAAAAAAATCCTATCACGATTGCAATGCAATGATGCAATGATATTTAGCATTTTTTGTGCAAGGAAAAAAATTAATTGAGCAGGAAGTATGTAAAGGTTCTTCAAAATAACATTTCTTACCCTGACAAACAACCCTGTGCTCCTCATTACAATAACGAGCCAGTAGCTTGTCCTTTTCTTCAAACATGGCCTCCAAGCTTACACAGTGGCCCTCATCATTGTAGTTGTACCAGTGAGTGAGTCTCAGCTGTTCCCCATCGGTCCACTCCCAGCCACTGCTCTGCTTATGGAGACCAAGCCAAAAGCTGGCATTGTTTGTGGGGATGGCACTGAGGAGAGCAGAGTATTCCTCCTCTGTGCTCAAAACAGCAAGGTCCACAAAGTGGCTCTGACAGTACTCACGACCTTTGACCCAGGGCATTGGTTCTTGGGTGAAGAAGTAGCGTGAGGAGATCTGGCCTGTTGCTAGACTGCGGCATACCACTAAAACAAAAGATAAAGCAGAAAAAATTACTTTCTGATGTCTACGATATCTTATATATTAAATTCCATTATGTTAAACAGTCATCTCTAATCAAGCAAACATAAATTGATATGAACAAAGAAAAACCACAAACAGCCACAAAAAGAATGTCAAAATTACAAGAAAGGCTCTCAGATCAGTTATGGAATTGCAACAAAAGAGTTTGAACCCAAAAATGTGAAGTGTTGGGTTGTTTGAGTTGGTTTTTGGATTTTGTTCATTTCTGTGTTTCTTAGTTCCTTTTCCAAGATCAGCCAAGCCTTTTGTTTTACTTTGGTCACTTCTTATGTTTCTTGTGTCTAGTTATTCCTTGTTTCTCTAGTTTTACTTTGTTTCTTGTGTCTATTTATTCTGTAGTGTTAGATTTATTTCCTAATCCTTTGTGCACTCTCCTTTGTCCCCTGTGCTACTTTCTCTCTCTCCCTTCTCCTCAGTCTGCCTTCTGCTTCCTTCCCTCACAATAACTAGCTAATCAGCCCAGTTCCATTGTCTCAGCATTCAACCTCCCAGTACTTAAGCACCTCTTTCTCAGACATTCCTTGCTGGTTTCTTCTGTTACTTCTCTTGTTTCACTGTACTCCTTCTGTCTCTTTCTGGATGTTCTTTGGAGTTATTATTTTGTCTTTTGCTCTTGTGGTTTTTGTAAGTTTTTTAATTTCATTTTTTTTCTTATATTTTTTCATCATCTGCTCGACAGTTCTGCTTCTGTATTTGGGTTAATTACCAACCACCAACCATGATAATTATGCAAGCTTTTCTTTCTGCTTGAGTTACAGGCCATGTTGCTGCTTACAGACAATGCACATGTGCAACTGAAGAGCCTATTTTTTAAAATCTAGACTTCTTTAATAGGGATTGTTATTTGAATAAGTAATGCTTAACAGTCTATGTATAATGTATTCATGGATGGCAAGAGTTGCCTTAGTGTCTAACTGTTGTTTTTTTCTGCACTGACATACTGCATTAGAAATGGTCTGTATTTTTCAATGTTCGTTTTTGACATGTTCTGACTCAGTTACACATCCCTTGGGTCTTGAGTAGTCCTATATGCCTATTTCTAAAAACTGCACAGTATTTTCTATTTTAGTCTTTTATAGTATGTCATTATTATTGTTGTTAATCTTATTTCTTTATTGTTTTTAACACTTTAAGAACCTTTGTGTGAACCTTCATGTCTGTCGCGGCTGTTACACCCAAATTTCCCTTTTGAGGGACAACAAAGGCTGTTTCTATTCTATTCTATTCTATTCTATTCTATTCTATTCTATACTCAGAAACAGCATTGCAAAAAGTTTGAAGTACTATATCAGTCATTGGATATGTCACAACTTTAATTGTAATGGTAGTTTCACTACATAAAATACATTTTAATGAAAGAAGTTTCTAACTACACCTGGTAAATACAATGGTAAATAGTCTGTCAAGTGGATTACATTACATTTCAGAACAAAGTAAAGAAAGTTGTTGTTACCCAGAACAGCCAGCTGCTGCAGTATCTGCATCTCATTGGAAAACATACAGGTGTATCCGTATGCTTTCCCACAAGGTGATATGCGCCACTTGCCTCCTAATCCCAACAGCTCTACACGTGTTGTCTAGTAATCCACTATCAGTTCTGCTCCTTCTTTCTCCTCCTCCTTTTATAAAAGCAGGTCATGCTGAATGGATTACGGCGAAAGAGGAGTGTCCTTCTACCATCCGATGATCTCACGGGTGGGATGACTAATCGCGCGACTTTTTTTTTTTTTTTACTTGTCCACGAGAGGAGGCTTTAATCCTTCAAAAACAATCCCGCATACAAGTTTTGCACAAAATATTATGGTTTTACAGCTATTTAAAAACAACGGATGAGACTTAAAGGTCCTTAGGACATGTAGTTTTATAAAACACACTTCATAAACACCCAATTTAGTTGTCACGTGACACAAGACACTGACCTTTCAAGACATCAGGTGATCGTCTGTGTAAATTCACCCCAGGGTCTGAATTTTACCTGCGTAACATGACCCCGTCCAACACAGACATGAATACGTAGAGCCTCTTTGAGTGCCGAGTCCTCCATTACATCACTGCCACGTGGCAGCAGAGTGACCGGAGTTCCTTAATTCCTGTGCTGTGAGGACCTGTTTCAACCGTTTTACAAAACAAACTGGATTCATTGGCAAGGATGAAAGGATGAAAGAGCAGAATTACTTAACTTTTCAGCCAGAAACTCGCTTCTAAACAACCGAGAAATATTTCCTATGTAGCTAAATTGGCCCGAAATAACCAGATTGTTAACGTAGCAGCTAACGTTTTCATACTGTTTTCTAATAAGAGAGAGAGAGCTGATGAGAAACCGCTGTTAGAGGGGAA